CTCTTTCGAGAATTAATTCCTCAAAGATTCTAAAGTTTCATACAACTCGAAGCTCAAGATTTGTCGATACCATTACGTTCGAGTATGCAGCCGACTATTATAGATACCCAACTCACAAATCGTTCAAAGCCGACCTTCCAAAACTCATATATATTTTTTTTCCGAACAAAAGGAAATTGTGAGTCGGATACCTGTAGCGCTTTCGGCAAATCATTTTTTACGGAAAAATGTCTTAAAATTGCGGGAGCAAATTTTATCTCCGACATCCTTATTATTTCACCCTAATATTTCTATTACTTTCTTCACTCTTTTAATATACTTGCTTCTTGATATTTACATATAAGCCTCTCTCAGAATCAATTTCACTTTTTGTAAATTTCTGTATTTTTTAATACCAGAGCATTCATGTGATTAGTGCTCTAGTACCAACATTAAGAAATTTACAAAAAAAAAAAAAAAAAAAATTAATGAATTAGACTTTTGAGAAGTTCACACACCTCGGAGTAAAAATGTATACCAACCTTCGGCTGCTGTGGCTTGATCTGCGTCTTAAAGTATTCCGTGATCTTGCCCTGGGACTCGTGGTGATGCTGGCCGTTCTTTCCGTTCGCCTTGACGGCACCCCTGGAGGTGGGATCGGCGGCGCCGGAGCGCGGAAGGGCGCCAGCCTCGGGTTCGCCCCTCAGCCTCTTGTACGCGGTGGTGGAACAAGCGGTCGCCGCCAACGGCGGGGTCCAGGGCCACTGGGGCCTGGTGCCGATCTGCGACGACGGCGCCAGCTTGGGCTGGGTCGGCAGCAACGGACTGGCGGACGTGCCGCGTAACGCGGCTACCCCCTCGTCGCTGCTGGTGCTGCACGGCGAGCCCGGTTCCGTGATATCGCTGGTGCCGCTGCTGCTGCATTCCCCGCAAGAAACTGCGACTCCACTGCAACACGCAAAGATAGATTGAATCAGTTTAGTTTAAGTAAAAGGAAAAAGAGAGTAAATTTTTCGATTCGTAAATTTAGCGAAAATTTTTGCGCTTCTCTCTCCTTTCTCTCTCATTTGTTCCAAAACTTACATTTACTCTGTATTATGTCGTTATTACATTTATATTTTTATTTTATTATCCTTATTATATCATATTTTATCTTATATTATCCTTATATTATGTCTTATTATATTATTATAAGAAATGTGTCTCACTTCTGTCACATTATCCTTTTAATAATTAATTTTTCCTTAATAATTTGTGCGCTAGTTAAATTAAGAAGATAAGATATTTTCTAACCGAGTCAAAAGCATTAAATTAGTCAATCTAATGAAGATATTTTTTATAAATGCCAATAAAAAAATATTGGATAATAATTGATCCTATCTAATCAGTGTCTGAAGCCGGACAATAAGAAAATATCGTTGCAGATTTCTCAAGATAGTTGTTGCGTTTTTGGTACAATTTAGCCGAATAAAAGTACGGCTGGTCGTCCCTTGCCACGTTCCGGTCGCACCTTTTTTCTCCCCAGGTACAAGCGAAACAAGTCCGGTGGCCGGTCGACAGCGGCTTCGTGGCAACCGCGAACCGTCACGAAGGAAACCGGTTGGAGACGACGAGCGGCGACGACGGTGGCGGCGGCCACGAGGAAATTGCAAGCTTACCAAGTAATGACGTTACCACCAACGCAAACCTAATTACAGGCCCAGACATTGCCAATTGGCCTGGCCCCGTCGTCGTTTCGGGTTCCATGGCTTCTACCAGTATCGCGGTACGACGAGCCGTTTCGGTAATTTCCAGGCAAATCGAGGCGCGAGGAAATATATAGACGCTGAAAAACACGTAGACGCGCGTTCCAGGTTCATTATCGAATTTGTTAATAGCAATCTAATTTCGAGGCATTTGCACGGAAGTTGCCGCTTCTCTGCTTGTACTTGAACATATAAAAATTATTATCAAAGATAAGAGTCTAGTAAATCGAGATAGGATACTTTTTAATATCGTATAAAAGTTTTATCTAAGCAAATTAAAAATAAAGTATAATAAATGTATATAAATAAAATGTATATAAATAAAATTATATACATATATATTTTTAATAATAAAATCAAGATAAATATCTTTTAACAAAAAAAAATTGTCTCTTTATTTAAATAAAAATTTTATCAGATGATAAAAAGTATTCTATTTTTCTGATTCGTTAGACTTTTATAATCTCTTAAATAATGACTTTTATTATTTTATTATAAAAAATGTGTAATTGATACTATTATAAAAAGATATATCTCTTTATCACTAGAATAAAGAGAAGAGAATTTTTAGTTTTTCAATAAAGACCGAGACTATTTCATATCCAATTCTTCGTTTTATGCTAGATTTACTTTTACTACGCCGAGCCCATTCAATGTAAAATACGAGAACAAAAATCACGAGACGGTCACGTTTACCGCTAAATGTGAATGAAAAACACGCGAATCGATAACAACATGACAAGCCGTTACAAGCCGGCAATCTTCCGCATTATTGTCGGTTCCTCGAAAAAGCGTGCCAAAAAAAAAATCTCGCAAACACACACATTCTCATATTCCACGTTCTCCTCGTTCGTACGCGAATAAAACAAGTTTCGTACCGCGGAAAAAAGAAGTCCGCCGTTCCGCGACCGTTTCGTCGCGTATATCAGCGGCCGTAAATTATCCGGTCGGCTGTAAAGTGTGGCCGCGAAAAAGAACGACGAAAAAAAAAAAACATCGACATCAACGTCCCCCGCCTCCGCCGCGTGCGCGCGCGCGCGTCCGGATAAAACCGGCGCGATCTTCCTCTCCCGTTCGCGGATATTTCGGGACGTCCGTTCGTTGCGTGTGTTGTGCGCGCGAACCACGACGACGTCACACCCGAGAGAAAGAGAGACACTGACCTTTCCATCCACGTTACGATAGCGCGCGCGCGCGACGACGTTTACGCAATGCGTAACCGTAGTTAGTTAGTCAGTCAGTCTCGGCGGCAAGTGGCAGAAAGACGCGCGTGCCGCGCCGTTTTATTGACTCATCTTCATTCCTCGTCCATCGAATCATCCTTTCTAATTTCGAATCACTCATGGCAAATTCGATCGATTGCTCCCTCCTTCTTTTCGCGCGATTAAAAATTCTTTGTTCATAAATTATCGCAGAAGCTGACGTATGCGTTCAAAAATAAAATTATCGCGTATTTTTCCTTTTATCTCGGAACACTCTTATTTAGATGTGATCGTATTATTGATGAAATCGTAATTGCCCCAAATACAGTTCTAAATACAGTATTGATAAAACAATAATTTAAAAAAAAAAAATTTCCATTGTTCTCACAATAAAGTTTTCTCCCACCTCTCGCCCAGCTGATTCTATTTTAATTTACACGCACGCGATATAAATATTAAGATTATCGTTCTTTGCACGAAATACCTACGTCAAAACAATTATGCGATTAGATCAGTTGGGTAGAGGATAAAAAGACGTCAGGAATAACGACGCGATTTTTCGAGAGAGAACGAAAGTGGGGTCTCGGACGATGACGGTCGCGGCATCACAGTTGCATAACTGACCTATACTCACGACAAGCACGCGTGTAAGAGCAGTCCGCGAATCCCGTCCCTTTCGCCCGAAAGTTGCGAAAGTACGGAAGTGCTGGTTATTATTACGGCAGCGCGCCAACTTGTCCACCCACTGCGGGGACCCGAAGTTTGCGAGACTCGAACAAAGCGGAGGTAAAGTATTGCACGATTTCCAGAGAGCGACACGAATTTATGTTCGCAAACTGCCAACTGACGTCTTTTCGAATTTTTTCGCCCAAACTTTCTTCGTAATAGCGCAAACGAGTTCCAAAAATAATTTCATTCTAAGAAGGGAGAATTGAATCGCTTTGTTAAAGAAAGTTTGTTATGAAATAACACGTCGCGCTTTTTATCAAGTATAAATATGATAACACATATCAAGAGACAAGGAAAAAATCTTTTCTCTTATTTCAAACACGGTATCGACAAAGAAGATAAGAGTTAAATTAAAAAGTAATGTTTTATCAATAAAGAGTCTCGATATATATAAAATTTCCTCGTATTGAACATTAATATTAATAATACATTCTTCAAGAAATGTAATAATATTTAATATAATAGACGTTAATATATACTAAATATAATTATATATGTAACGAGATATAATTATAACGATTAGACTCTGATAAGTTTTTGTAAAAACATGCTTTTCTCGTTTGGACGACGCTATTTGCAAAAAGATGTATAATGATGCGCATTTTTCGGAGCAAGATGCAAGAGACAATAAAAAAGCATTAATTTAATTCGTCGTTGCCGCGAAGATATATCTGCGTGCACGCAAATAATATGCGAAATCGCAGCAGCAGCGACTGCGCGCCTTCATCGGATTTCCGGCGACCGCGTGCGAAAATCCGAGAAGGGCCCACGGCGGCGTTAAATGCACACGCTCATGCATTATACATCCGCATGTTAATTGCGTAACGCATGGCGTAATGACTGAAATAAATGATATTTACGGCGCGCGATAAAATCGCGCGCAGCTTTCGCGTAACTGACCTACGTCCATTTCGCCGATCCTTGGCCATGGTCATGCGAATAAATGTGCGAATGTGCGTGCGCACGCGCGCACGATGGCAGGCACGCGGAATTCCGCCCTTTCCGCTGGAAATTCGCTGGAAAGGGACGATGATAACGGGTGAGAGAAGCGGAACGGCATGTCGACCTGCCTATCGTCGCTCGATGCACGACGATCTTGTCTCGCTGTCTGGGGTCCAGTATAGGTCGCGGGAAATTGAGTGGACGGACCATTCGATGGCACTTCAAGGACCACGAAGGACCATCGGGAAGTTTAAGCCGCGATAAATCTTAGTGAAGCATAGGCCGTATAATTGAATGACAGATACCTCTGAAGAGATTCGAAAGCGGGAGTGTATTTAAAAGTTCTTTAATTAATCAATAATATATTAATTATAGGCTACTGTAATGCTATATTTTAAGTTTGATGAATTTTCTTATAGTGTCAGAAGCTAATTTCGAAAGCAAAATTTACGATATCTATTTTTTAAATTATAATAACATTATTATCAATATTTATATAAAAATATCATCGTTATCGCTTGTTGTAAATTTTATAAAACAAACATGCATATATCGCTGACACGTATTGCTGACATACATCTCTTTGTACACATTCGTTCTATTCTTTGACATGTATTCAATTTTCATAGATTAATATTTCTAAATAAATGTTGAAAATAGATATAGAGCAAATGTATAAAAAATTTGTAGAGATTTTTTTTTTATAATAGATATAATAGAAAGAGAGAATTGAAGAAAGAAAGAAAAAAAAAAGTAGTAGATAGTATTAAATATTTCATATTTATAAAGCATACTTAATCAGATCACTTTTAGATCGACCGATTTAATTTAATCGATTTCCACTGCCGTTAAAAATTTGCTAAATTTTTAATTCCGTTCCTACTTATTTATATCAAGTACCAAAGAGGTTTCTCGGGGCAGAGGAAGTATGAACCGCGCCGGCACTTGAGGTACAACGGCTGACGAAGAGGTTTTTTTGCCGTGCCATACATAATTAGACTTCAACCGGTAATCGTCGAGAGTTTACATAATGTATTAGCGCCGGCTCGGCGATGCGGCGTGCGAGTTGGCGAATTAACGTGACTCAAGCTGTATAACGCTCGAAAAAGCAATGAACGAAAATAGTCACACGTGCAATCGTTTAGGCACGTGTGTGTGGGTGCGTGTGAAAGCTGCTGGAATTCGTGGAGTCACGGACGCGTCGGGATGAATGAAATGCAATTTACCGCAAATGTAGACACATCAGCGGACGGTGACATACTTTGTACGTACGACATTGTGTAACGTATTAATTAAAAACATTGTTTCAATATTATTACACCTCCTTAAA